GACTCGTGATGGAACACAGCACATTTTGCTCGAAATGTACGTTCCCATCTGAACAACCGTTTCCCGCAGTGGTTTGGGGGGGGTCCTGTACCCTGGCCAGCGCAGTCCCCAGACTTGACACCGCTCGATTTTTTTTATGGGGTCATATAAAAAATATTGTTTATGCGGAATCCTGTGAAAGCGCAGAAGAAATGAGGCAGCGGATCGAAATGGCGTTTAGTCAAATCACTCGGCAGATGCTTCAAAGAGTAGAGCAGTCTCTGTACCGACGCACGGAAATATGCATATTGCATGGAGGTCGGCATTTTGAAACTTACCTGTAAATGTGTGAAATGTGCCAGCAGTGCGTGCAGTGATTGTACTTATTATTCAAAATTATCGTAAACAAGTCAATATTTTATTTATTTTTAATTTAATTGTATTGTGTTTGTTTCCTTTTTTGGTGTACATTAAAGAATTTTTGTATTGTATTGTATTGTATACTTCGTACATTGTACAACAGTGAATTACAATTCGTAGGAAATTCATTAAAACGTGTATAAATTGAACAGTAGGTAAGTACCAATTAAAAAAGTATCCACTATTGTAAAATTGTCGTAAATAAATGTGTTAATACTAAATTATGTAGAATGTGTATACGATGAAGGCGTGCGTAACTACGGGCTTAATAAGTAAATAAATATTCTTTAAATAAGTACGTACGCGTACCTAGGTATGGCATAAAATAATATTGTTAGAAATAATTCGATTTTTCTAGGTGTTTAAAGATTTTGTTACTTAATATTAACGTATTATCAACATATTAAAAACATGTTTTTACAATGGCATTTCAATTGTAGTCAGCTATTCTTTCGCCCCGCTTGCGGCCGCCCAGGTTTTATGAATGAATTTTTGAAGTCGTAGTAACGTAATTAGCAATAGAGTTGTGACGCAGTGGTTGTTTCGGACAATCACTATTTACACAAACAAAATTAAACTTATATCAACATTAAAAGTCACTTATTTTTATTTGATATTTTGCACACAGGGTCTAAATCAAGTGTACATTTGGGTCCTTTAATATGACCACACCTTTCTGTTACACCCGGTATGTATATACATTTTTTTTTCTTATCGACTCTGGCGCCAGTTTTTGTTACGTCCAGAGCTTCTTTGAGTCTCAATGACGTTTTCACCCGTGTGCTTAGGGTCCGTCGATGACACTATCAAAGTGTGGTTGGGCTTTGGGTTTGTCACCGTTTTCACCTTTTCTGCGTATGTCGGGATAGCTCTCGTCTTTTTTGCTATCTCCGCTATAGCTAATTCGGCTCCGATGCTCAGGGCCGGTGGTGGAGTTTTCTGCCTAGACTCTCGCATTGTTCGTATCTCCGACGATACTGCTTCGAGGCGTTCGGTGATTGGTTGCAGATGTTCTGTTAGGTCGGTTGCTGTCGAATTGATCGGGAACGGTTCGGGATATCACTCAGAACCGTTTTTACCTCTTCCAGTTGTTCCCAGCCTTTAATGCCCTCGCTTTCTTCTACTGGGATACGAGACCGTGACTTGACCTTCAAACCGCACGTGACCGCGATATGCAAAAAAAGCGCGGACTTATACAAACAGCTAGCGTGCGCAGCGAGGGTGACATGGGGGCTAAACGGAGAAATAATCAGGACCATATACGTCGCGGTCGTAGAGCCGATCGTAACGTACGCCTCTTGCGCATGGTCTCAAGCAATGGAGCTCCAAATGATTCGAGATCAGCTGGACACGCTCCAAAGGGGTTTTGCGCAAAATATCTGTAAGGCGTACCGCACGGTCTCGCTTACTTAGGTTAGGTTAGGTTTTTTTTTTAAGTTCATGAGTACGGCTCGACATGAGGTTCGCGCTAATGGGATACACTTCTTCCATGTCTACCTGTTATTGATGGTGAAGAGTGTTTTAGTATGGAAATGGATGATGGATGACGACGTAGAATGGAAATAAACGCTTACTGAGAAACATAGAGAGTGTTTAAATAAGTAATACGTTGGATGTATAGATAGTGTGAGAAGAAGATGAAAGACAAATAATACTTATATATTTAGAAGTACCGCGAGAGCATGGAAAAAATTGGACGTGAAAGTGTGAGAACAAATGTTTACATAAATGTTAATGGTCGAAAAGAAGCGGGAATATGAAATTGTATAGTGAGCGTTAGCAAAAGTCAGAGTATACAATATTATAGAGTGCAAGTGTAGAGTGATTACAAAGTGGAATATACATAGCGAACCGTAAAATAAATATTATAAGCAAATATTAATTATTTGGATCTAGTTGCGACTGTGACACAATTATGAATCATACATTGCAAATGAGTATTTGTTAACAATTCAAATTATAATTAGTAGATACAAAGTTATACAAAGCAATTTGTTATGAAATGTAGTAGATTTTAAACCAAAAAGGGTAATTTTAAGTAATAGCACATAGCGAAGTTGTAAATAGTGAAATGTGGATTTACAATTGATACAAATGAGTTGTAAACAGCGTAGTTATACATTGCAAATATAAAGTTAGCCTTTTAAATAATTAGTGCAATAAAAGACAAAATGAATACAATTAATCTTTAAGAAAAACGAGTAATAACACAAAGCCGTTTTACAGAGTGGAATATGAAATGCACTTGGTAGATTTATTAATGTTTTTTTTGTTTTTTCTTTTAATATTATTATTATTTTTTTTTTTATATATACATATAAATAAATTTTTATTTTTTTTTAATTTTTTTTTTTTAATAGTAATATAAAACTAAAATATCAGCTCGTCCATAGACTCGGTGGAGTCGGATGCAGTGTCTACAAGATGCGGCGACTCCCTATTGCATTGTCTCCTTTTATACCTTTTTTGTTTTTGTGGTGGTGTACCTGGGTCATCAACAACATACAGTTGTTCGGTAGACGTTGACGAATCCTCTGCCTCATATTGAATACGTTCTCGAAGCGATAGTAGCAGTGAAGTTGCATTGACAGTGTCAGAGACATTAAAAGAAGTTGATTGAAATTGTCGACTTACGACGGAGATGTCCAGAGATACGAGAAGTCGTAATAACAGCGTTGTAAAGATGAGGATTTTTGTTGTTTCTCATGAATCTGAATGCCAATTGAGAAGGGTCATCGGTAACATTTTTGATGCAGTAATTTTGATTGTATAAAACATTCGTTATTAAGTTAGATGGAGTGTCCTGAGATATGCCTTTTAGTATAAACATAGACTTAAGTTTTTTAGATATTTCAGCTTTGTTCTCTGCTGCATTGCTGTTCACTTTCTGAAGTGTTTCATCTCTTTGAACTTCAGTATCAAACTCGACTCTGAGTTTGTTATTGGAGACATATTTAACGCTCGCATGGGAGAAGTTGGTGTCTCGGAACGAAATTGATTTTTTCCATTTTTGTAGAGATTCAGCTGGGCTGTGAACTTCCTTCGTTGGTGAGATTATCAGAGCAGGCATGGTTGTGGGGATCATTTCATTGGGGTTGGTAGTTTGCTTGCGTGTCACGGTGGCATATGTGGGCGTGGAAGACAAAATGAATACAATTAATCTTTAAGAAAAACGGATAATAACATAAAGCCGTTTTACAAAGTGAAATATGAAATGTAATTTATCGTTTTTTTTTTTGTTTTTTTTATATTTTTTTTAATATATAAGCTTGGATTATTTAATGTTTTCTTTTTTATTATTATTATTTTTTTGTTATTATTCGAGGCAGACCGTACGAAGGAGTAGCAATTCTCTGGAGAAATAGTGCATTTCGTAGTGTGTCAGTGATAAAATGTGTCGGTGATCGTTTAGTGGCAATAAAAGCCGTAACAAGTGATTTAAAAGAGCTTATAATTATGTGCGTGTACATGCCGACAGACGAGCCGAACAATTGCCACTTTTCACACAATGTTTAGGGGAAATGAACGCTATTATTAAGGACTGTAACACAGAAAATGTGTATGTTGGGTGATTATAATGCGCACCCGACGGCGACCTTTGGAATGCAACTTTTCGATTTCTGCCACGAAAGGCAGTGGATATGTGCAGATGTGGTGAGACTGGGTATATCGTCAAATACACATACCTTTGTAAGTGAGGCAAATGGCTCTCGTTCATGGCTGGACCACTGTGTGGTGAGTACATCAGCGTTGCTTACTGTTTCGAGCATTCAAGTTGTTGATGGCGTGTACTGGTCTAACCACTATCCTTTACAACTTACATGTAACTTAAATATCATTAGAACTAAATTAATAGTACAAAATGAGTCTCACAACATGATTGTATGGGGCCTCCGGAATGAGGAGGAAGTAGAAAAATATCAGGAACTCTGTAATACTTATTTCAAACAAATAATTTTTCCCAGTGAAATTCATCAATGCTATGATACAATGTGCAATGATGTAAGTCATAGAAAGATTATTGATAATTTATATAGTCATTCATCGTGTGGCCGTTGTTGTGTGTGGTCGTGTTTGATTGTGCTCCTGGCTATATCTATTTGTTTTGTTTTATATTGACATTGAGCTATGAGGTGTTTTGCTCACTTAAACTACAATTTATCGGCTCCTCTCTTATTATCTTGGGGAGGTGTCCATATGTGCCGGCCGCCATATTGAAAATTGTGTTGTTGTTTCGCTTTCGCTGGTGCGTTTTTGGAGCTGTGACGTCGATTGTGATCATCTTTTGGCTGACAAGCGAGGTAACGATTAAATAAAGACGCTTGCATGAATATTTTCTCAAGGTGAGGATCGAACCTGGGGTGTCTGCGTCGGAGCTCGGTTCTCGACCGCTAGGCCAGCGAGCGTGTGCGCACTGTGGCGAAATATCTAGTCGCTACCGATCGGTCAGTACTTGGCCTATACCACGATACAAGCGATAATTTTGCGACACTTAAACGACTGGATTATATTTATTTTTTTTTCGTCATATTTTGGTACCGGCCAAAATACTAAATACATAATATATATAAATATATATTTTCTCCTTGCACTGAGGAATCATGTTAAGATCCCCATCTAATCAATCATCTTCAAGCCGGGATCCAGACGGTACCAATGAAACCAAATCTGGTGTTACTATTAGAAAAAAACAGCAGCCGGAGAATGTGATCCTAAATGAAATTAAAAGCATGCAGTCGAATTTTACCCAGGTTCTGCGAGACCTTCGGCAGGACCTTGATGTTAAGTTTGAAAATATTTCAGACAGTATTCAAACAGTTAGAAGCGATCTTGAAAACTACCAATCGCAGATAAGGAAAGACATTGATGACCTACGTTGTGAAAATGGCGCCATGAAACAGCAAATTCAAGATCTTAACAAGGAAATCTCGGACTTGCGTGAATCAACGAGGTTTATCTCAAGTCAACAGGATGAATTTGGAAAATGCACCGATAAAATCTCGGGTTGTACTAAATCGATGAATGAACACGAACGAATAATCGAATCCCTCACGTCAAAGATGGATGGTTTGGAGCAGCAAGCAAGACAGTGCAATATCGAAATCACTAATTTACCAGAAAAGCGTGATGAAAATCTGTTGTCCATAATTGAGTCAATTGGCGCTAAAATTGGATGTGCCATCAATCGTCGTGACGTTGTCGCCATCCATCGCGTGCCTCATGCTTCTCAAACTAGTAAACCAAAGAATATCATAGCGAAACTAACTACACGTATCTTGCGTGACAACATCCTTGGCGCTTATCGCATTAAGAAAGGGATGACGTCTGCTGAATTGGGACTTTCGGGTGCACCGCAAATTATTTATCTTAACGAACACCTTACTCTGCGTAATAAACAACTTTTTCGAACAGCTCGAGAAGCAGCTAATAAGGCCAATTTCAAATATGTTTGGGTCAAACACTCCACTATTCTGGTACGAGCATCTGACAATTCCCCCGTCATTCCTATTCGCACAGAACAGGATATTAAGAAAATTTATAATAGGGGATCGGGTACTAATAACCATCCTGGGACCAGCGTATATACACAGTAATATATTCTTTTTTTATCATATTTTTGTAAAAATCGTCTTCATAATGATATTTACAGTGCTCGGGCTTAAGATTGAAGAGGCATTCGGCTGGTTTTGTGGCTTAATTGTTATTATTTTTTTCTGTGTATCAGATTCCATTATGTTAACTTGTATTACTACTGCCTTATTTACATTATTTATAGTATCGACTTTAAAATGACTAATAACCTGAGCGTTTACTATCAAAACTGTAGAGGGACACGAACTAAACTACAAACACTATATATGAACATCCTGTCTAACGATTATGATATTATATTATTAACGGAAACTTGGTTGATTCCGGATATATTGGACAGTGAATTTATAGACCAAAGGTACATTACTTTTCGCTGTGACAGGGATCGTGATGTGGCTTTGAAGAAGGATGGTGGGGGTGTTATGGTTGCTGTACTGCGTTCTTTGAATCCTGTTTATGTATCGTCTTCACCAATAGTTGGTGACTCCAAATTCCTGGAACACATTGTTGTTTCTTTACCTAGCTCTGACCATATTAAACGGCATATAATCAGTTGCGTCTATTTTAGTAACGGCGTGCCTACCACTGTGTATGAGAATTTCTTCAAGAATTTATTGTTGACAATTACCGATCCCGACGCTGATATGTTTTTTTTGTTTGGTGACTATAACATACCGGATGGCAATTGGGTTCATAGCGCTTATAATAGTAGCCTTATTTGCACGGGAACTTCTTCTATCTGTTCTGGTCTGCGTGATTTTATGACGCTTAGTGATGCATCCCAATATAATCATTTAAAGAACTGCGATCAAAGAACGCTAGATCTTTTGATATCCAACGCAAACTGCTTCGTTGTACCCGTTACAGTACCTTTACTCAAATTAGATGGATATCATCCCGCATTTAATGCTGTACTTACTGTTGACATCTCAAAAGTGTCTAAAATGAGAAGAAAACATTCAGCAAAATATAATTATAACAAAGCTGATTATGTGCAGATAAACAGGGAATTGTTGGACATTGACTGGAAATCTTTGTTGGTTCATTTGCCGTCTGAAGAGTCTCTTGAAATCTTTTATGAACGAATATACGGTATTATTAAAAAGCACGTCCCATTGTCTTATCCTAGAAATTACAATTATCCTATTTGGTTCTCAAAATCTTTAATTCACATGCACAAAAATAAGGGTAGATATTGGTTGAAATGGAAGGTTTACAACAATTACAGTGACTATTACATATACTCAATTTACCGTGACAGATTTCATAAGGAATGCTGCAAATGTTATAAAAAATATATAAATTCTGTGGAAGATAGTATAACGAGAAAGATGAAATTCTTCTGGGCTTACATAAATAATCGCAAGAAAAGACCTGGTTTTCCTGCGTGTATGTATTACGGCGATCGGAGCACTAACGATCCAAACGAAATATGTAATTTATTTTCGTTGTACTTTAAATCAGTTTATGAACCATCTAGTTTTAACCCAGCCTCTTGGTTGCCTGGTGATGAATTTTCCAACAGTAGTAATGTACTTTGCAACGTCCACCTTGGTATTGATAAGATTAATCGTCGTTTAAAATCTCTTGATGTTACTAAGGGACCTGGCCCAGACAGACTCCCGCCAATTTTTATAAAATCAACAGCCAGGTTTCTTGCATCTCCACTATATACAATTTTTAATAAATGCCTGGCTGAAGGTACTTTTCCAGTAAAATGGAAGTGTGCAAACATAATTCCGGTCTATAAAAATGGCTCGAAGCAGAATATCGAGAACTATAGACCTATATCTATTCTTTGTACACTGGCAAAGATATTTGAAAAGTTAGTCCACGATGAATTGTTTCCGGTCTTGAGTTCCCTCATAATATCCGAACAGCATGGTTTCGTTAAGCGTAGATCAACTGTGTCTAATTTATTATTATTTACTGGCTTCGTTTTTGAAAGTATGGACCACGGTGACCAAGTTGATGCTGTATATACAGATTTCCAGAAGGCTTTTGATAAAGTGGACCACAAGCTCTTACTTGACAAGATTGCGTTTAATGGTATTCGGGGGAATCTTCTCCGTTGGTTCTCTTCCTACATTTGTAATCGCTCACAGAGAGTTGTTGTTAATGGGTTTCAATCTGACTTAATTAATGTGACATCAGGTATACCTCAGGGGTCCATCTTGGGTCCGTTGTTATTTATTATATTTATAAACGACATTAAGATGTGTTTTCAGCACTCTAACTTTCTTTTATATGCTGATGATTTAAAAATTTATAGATGCATTACTAGTCAATATGACTGTACTTTATTGCAGAAAGATTTAGACCATTTAGCTCGTTATTGTGATTTAAATAAACTCAAGCTAAGTATCCCCAAATGTAAAAGTATTCGTTTTACCAAAAAAAGAAATATATTTAAATATAGTTATACTTTAAGTAATAATCCATTAACAGTGGTGGATTCTCTTCGTGACCTCGGTGTAATCTTAGACAGTAAATTACACCTCAACCTACATATTGACTCTATCGTCGCCAAGGGATTTAGATTGTATAAATTTGTCATGAGAACGACCACTGACTTTTCTCGCCTATCAACTTATATCTACCTTTACATTAGTTTGGTTCGACCTCAAGTTGAATATGCATGTTCTGTTTGGGACCCTTACTACAAGAAATACACAGATAAAATTGAGAAAATTCAATCAAAATTTCTTAAATCAGTAAATTACAAGATATTTAGAACGATTGTGCCATACAACAGTTTACTGTCCAAATTTCGAATGCTATCACTTTATAATAGACGAGTGCTTCTTCAAGCTGTAATACTACATAGACTTTGTAACAATTGGATCGACTGCCCGAATCTTGTACAAAGCATTAGTTTTAATATACCTGCGAGAGCTTGTCGGCGAGAGGCGCGAGCCTACCCGTTGTTTTATGCGGCGCGCTGTAGAGCAAATGCGGGTGAGCGAGTTCCTCTACGCCGTATAGTTTCTCAATACAATGATTTGTTTATTAATGTAGACTTATTTCACTTACCTGCCTATAAATTTAAAAAAGCTGTTATTGATGCCATGAGCTAATTTGTTTATTTTTGTATTTTCTAATTGTATAGTTTTTCCTTTTTTTTTTATGTTAATGTTTTGTTTTTTGTTTTTTAATGCCTTGCCGATCACACGCAGCAACTTTGTTTAAAAATTTAGAGTAATTTGTAGATAATGTTGTGGATTGTACGTGTACTTATATTATTTATGTACTAATACTATTTGTAAGTATAAATCGTGTACGATTGTTTTTTATCCCTTGAAAATAAATAAATAAATAAATAAATAAATAGTGATATCATTAACTCATTAACGAGGGCGGCTGTGGAAAGTCGTTCACAAACTCGAAAGTCACATGTGAGGGGTAAGTCCGTCCTGGGTTGGAATAAGCATGTGGCCGAAGCGCATAGGCAAGCCAGGTCAGATTTTCAATTATATGTTCTTTATGGAAAACCGAAATGTGGAACTGTTTATGAGAAAATGTGCCTGAGTCGTAAGATTTTCAAATCCAGACTAAAATTCTGTCAAAAAAATCAAGAACAAATTCGTTTTGATATACTTGCTGCACAGCATGCTTCTAAGCAGTTTAGTAAATTTTGGAAAAATACAAAAAACATGAACGGTAAAGTGAGTTTGCCTGTTGGTGTCGATGGACAAAGTGACCATAAAGTTATTGCAAATATTTTTAAAGACTATTTTAGGATTCAATCTCCGTTTCAATCGACTCAGAGTAATGTATGTGGTAAGATTAAGCAAGGGAAAGTGCACATTCATATCACCAACGATCAGGTTATAGCAGCCATTAGGAACATGAAAAGAGGGAAATCTCCAGGTCATGATGGGCTCAGTATTGAGCACCTCCAGCATGCGGGGGCTCATGTTGGAGAGCTCTTATCAAAGTTTTTCAGTCTGTGCATAAGGCACGAGTATCTGCCTACCGATCTTACAAAAACCATAGTGATACCACTTTGTAAAAATTCCACAGGTGACTTATCGGACAAAACAAATTATAGGCCTATATCATTGGCTACAGTAATAGCAAAAGTATTTGATAGAATTTTGGATGAGTATTTGAATAGTCAAATTAAATTACATGATGCTCAATTTGGCTTTAGGGAGGGCTTATCAACTGAAAGCGCTATTTTAGCCTTAAAACATACAATCCACTATTATGTTAAGAGAAAAACACCTGTATATGCCTGTTTCTTGGATTTGTCTAAGGCATTTGACCTAGTGTCATATGATATGCTTTGGGCAAAGCTAGGGGACATAGGTGTACCACAGGAATTAATAGGAATACTTTCAATGTGGTATAAAAGTCAAATTAATATAAAAGTAAAGTGGGCCAATGCCGTTTCTGACCCATATGTACTAAATTGTGGGGTGGGACAGGGTGGACTTACCTCGCCTAGGCTCTTTAATTTATATATAGATCAGCTGATTGGCGTGCTCAGCAGCATGCATGCAGGTTGCAGGATTGATAATGTTAGTGTAAACAATATTAGCTACGCTGATGACATGGTGGTGCTGAGCCCATCAGTGGCTGGTATAAGAAAAATGTTGAATGTTTGTGAGGCTTATGCCTTGCAACAAACCCTACCAAACCCTACCAAAGAAAACCATTACAATTAGACTATACATTTAGAAATACTAAATTAGAGTGTGTTAATACTTATTCGCTGCTAGGCATCACGATCGATAAACATATAAACTGGAAAGATCACGTAAAAAAAGTTGCGGCTAAGTTATCTAGATTCACATACGCGTTATATGAACTAAAAAAGTGTACAAATAAACCGACCGCTCTAAATGCATATTACGCGTATGCCCGTGCTTGGCTACAGTATGGCATTACCCTATGGGGAAACAGCACAGACACTGAAAAATTATTTAGGTTATAGAAAAGATGCCTCCGCATAATAGTCAACATAGACGAGTTGACAAGCTGCCGGTCATTCTTCATAAAGGAAAAAGTGCTCACCCTCACATCCTTATACATATTGGAAATAAGTGTTTTTGTCAAAAAAAACTTGCACCTATTCCCACAGAATGATAGGCCAGAAAATTTACGTCCACGCCAAAGATTATCCCCACCAACTTCAAAATTAAATTTAGTGCACTCAGGACCGTTTGCAATGGCGGTAAAAACTTACAATAAAATACCTGAATATATAAAGACAGAAACAAATATAGACAAATTTAAACACATATTAAAGGATTTTTTATTATCAAAATGCTTCTATTCCTTCAAAGAGTTTTTTAATAATTAGATATATACAGAATAAATAATAAGATTAATGATGAAGTGAGGTAAATGATTGAATGATTATGGTAAATAGTAATAATACTCGTATATGATAATATAAAGTGAAAGTTCAATTTTATTTAATATTTAATTTT